CTTCTCAAAATTAAATATCTCCATAAGCCAACATGGGTACATAAGGAGCTCTCATGCAAGTTCAGATTTTGAAAGGACAATTACTTAAGACAGAAGGAAGACCATCCCTAAATGAGAATGAAGATAAGAATAACCTCAGTTTCATAACTCCCCATGTCATACTTGCTATATGGGATCAATTAAGGCATAATGGCAATCACACCTTTGCCTCTGAGCCTTCATTTAGTTTTAATACTGTGCTCCCTAAGTTTCTCTCTGTTCGAAGACGCTCAGGTCCTCTTAGACCCTTATGTGTTGTCTTGTTCTGCTGCTTCCACTTTCATACTTTACTTTTACCAGTCTGGGAGGAGAGTACACATTAAGTGATTATGGCTCAGTCAGCCACGCATAGGTGGTCCAGCCTTTAAGTAACCATAGTTCTTTTGATTTTAGAAGCCACTTTAATTTGAAACAGTTTAGATTTCATCTTGAGGCTACAGAGAATTCGTTAAAGAATTTTAGGTCAGGAAAGTAACAATGTCTTGTTTTGTTTTCAGTTTTATTCTGACTTTAATGTGGTGAATGGATTAGAAGAATAAGAGAAGTGGACACAGACACTGGTCAGAACATCATTATAATAGTCCAGCTGAGAGATGGTAGAGGCCCAGAATTAACAGCATCAGTGGTATTGGAGAGAAATGAATGGATTCTAAGACATTTAGGAGATAGAAGCAAGAAGACTGAATGATGGCATAAATATAGCTATCACTTAGCCTCCTAACACTTAGTGATTTTAATATTCATCTAAGAGCTGTTCAAAAATTGTTAAAGGAAATTGTGATTTAAAAATGTTAAAGTTTATTTATCAAATGAATGGCAGCAAATACTTATTTTGTTGAGGGGAAATCTTCTAGCATGATTAATAGTAATGGTAACATTTTCTTCTTATGTAAATGAATCTATTAATTCTATAAAGCCTTGTTCCTATATTTCCAGTATATGAGCTATAGAAAGAGAACACACACAAAACAAAAATTAATTGAGTACCTGGGTAACATATTGTTCTTTAAAAAACAAAACAAAAACACACAGAATCAACAGGAAACTGAAAGATTTAAAATACAAAAGAAATATTTTCTATAATTTATTTAGAGCTATGAAAGTTACTGAAGTATATAATACTTGCCTCAAACACTTTCCCAACAGCTGAAATTAATTTTTATGCCTAAGCTAGATACTGCATGGCAGTGAAACATATAAGGTTCACTGATTTTGAATATTCTATTCAAAATATCTCGAAAGAAAAAAGACTGTGTAGCCAACTATTTGAACTAACTGAAGCATAAAGAATAATAAGCAAAAAAAGATATCCAGACATTCTATAAATGTGGAATTTTATTTTCTTCCATAAAATATTCAACTTAAATTCAGGGATTATTAATTAATCTTGCCTATATTATAAGCAGTTTTTTGAACTCTGACGATGTCAGGAAGCTAACTAGAAAGAGAGACTTAATTCTGAATTTAGAAATGTTTCCAATTACATATATCTTCATGCTAATGTATAGGACACTCATCTTGAATATCTTTAACATCCTCAGTTGAGTAATATATAATATGAACGATATGAATAATTAATATAGCAGCATCTCTTTGAGATTATCCAATTTTGCTTTCATTAATTTGAATGTGATTATTTTGAAAAAGGTCTTAATCCATAATGTCAAACCCTTTTATTTCCATTTCCCCCATCCTTTAGAGGATATCTCTCTGAGGAAGACTTTTTAGTATGTGCCTTTTGTTTATGCTATACATGCCAAATAGATCTCCCAAGATGAAACTCTGAGCTCATTTGGAAGTAATTTTTGGTAGCACATGAATCAGAACTCTTATTTTCTTCTCAGCAATACTGGTATTTTATTGCCTTCATCTATAGTCCAATATGTTTTTAGCAGTAGGAACCCTGAAGCCAAATACACAAAACACTAAGAAAATGGGAACTTCTGGCGATTACAATTTTTGTCTCTCTTTCAGGGTTCTTCCCTCCCCTGGGAGAGTGAAATCACTTTAAGCTCACTATGAAATAGGAACATGGGGAACACAAATGATTGACTGAAGTTGGTGTTGATTTAGGAGTGTTCAGCTTATAGGTCAGGTGTAAAACCGTTAAATCTGCTTGTCAAAGTTTACTTGTCAAACACCTACGGTTTTTCCTGACTCTGCCCAAATGTTACTTTCTCTGTGAAGGCTTCTCAGGCCAGCTCAGGCAGGGTTAGGCAGTTCTTCCTTTGCATTATTATAGCACCTTGATATTGCTAAGGCAGCACTATCAAATTACATTGTATTTACCTGTCTGTGTCTTTTCATTCATGGGTAGAGAGAGACTATTTTCTTCCTTTTCTCTCTGGACCCAGAGCATTACCAAAATCAAATTGATTCTCAATAAAAAATAATCAAATGGATGGACAGAGTATGGCTGATAATATTCTCCATCTGCATAGCATAGGTTATGAGGTGCTTTCACATAGTGCTGAGAAAGAAATGTCAGGAATTATCACCTGTATTTTATAAATGAGGAAACTGATGGCCAGGGAGGTTACACAACCAACCCAAGTTCAAAACAACCAATAAGTTGTACATTTAGCTCTCATGCCAGCAAGTCAATAATGATTTGGAGAAAAAAATGATAGTAATAGTGTTCTGAAAGGCAGACGGTGGTGGCTGACCAGGACACATTGTAGGACATGGTTACCTGTTTTGAAAGCTTTAAAATCAATCTTAGCAGGATCTCAAGAAATTCACATAAATGTACACAAAACTGGACTCCAGAATGTCAACTTATTTACAATGAGAATAATTTGTGACAAATTATTTCCCTGTATTCAAGCTATACACACAGGAAGTCAGTAGACAAATATATCCTATTTATGTATACAATTCACATTACTCTCTGAAATTCTATGACTCATAGACTTCTAAAGAGGAATAAATTCTTAGAGATCAGGAGTAAAATCACTTCATTTTAATAAATAAATACGTAGCTACAAAGGATAAATGACTTATATAAACTCACGCAGCTTATTAGTAACAGCACCAGGCCGTAGAGTCAGGTCTTCTTAAAAATGACATCATTACATTAAAAAAATAACCCAACAACTTATGATTGGGAAGTAATACAAATACAGTTCTAGTTCTTAGCAAGATTTCTAAGCATCTGGTTAACATGATTAAACACAGGCTGCCACACAGGAATTGTCCTTAAATGCTATAAAATGGGAGTACATCAAATTCTATTCTATGACTGTGTATCAGGGAGGTGAGGAGCACTAATGTGACAATGTTTTCACATCCAATCCATGTTAAAACAAGGCACTTTTTAATAGAGATTGACAATATTAATTATATTTATCTCCATTTACCCACAGACATTGATGTTACAAAAATAACTTACTGGATTTATCTTTTCAATATGTCAACTGAAGTGTATTTTCTAGTCTTCATTCCTTTTCAACATATTTTTTTTTCTTCTTGAAAACAGTCCAAGTAGATATAACATAGGTATTCATAGGTTCACGTCATATTTATAACTTTTAAGTTTTGAAAATAGTTGGGCGAGTCATTGCCAGAACACATTTTACTACTTACTGGCCAGCTAAAAAGGTAAATATATATGTCTATTAAGGGGTAAAGACCAAAGACCAAAATAAGCTAAGATTCTCAGAAAAAAAAAAGACAAATGATCATATTTATGAAAGCTTTTATTTAGCTTCTATCACCAAAAATAGGATGTGCTCTGGGTTATATGTCCTAACTTAGTAGATAAAAGCAAATGCTTTCCACAAAAATATCTGTATCTCACCGACTGTGCAAGTCATACCACAATCCAACAATTTCATGGGGCAACATAGTCAAGAGAGAGAGCCTTACTTAGCAAATAACTGCTTTGGGGATAGAAACGTACCTCAAACTGCAACGAATTCGTATGCTAACTGATCTTCCTGTTGGGGATAATTGCTAGAATTCCTTCTTTAAAATACATGAAACTTTACTTATTTGATATCAACTATTATGCATATCTCGCTATTACTATCATAATCGGAGTCTGTGCTTTTCTACTTTTTCACTGGATGCAGAGAACTATTTCCACAACATTTTTTTTTTTAAAGATTTATTTATTTATTTGCGAGAGCGAGAATGAGAGAGAGTACATGAGAGGGGGGAGGGTCAGAGGGAGAAGCAGGCTCCTCGCTGAGCAGGGAGCCCGATGCGGGACTCGATCCCGGGACTCCAGGATCATGACCTGAGCTGAAGGCAGCCGCTCAACCAACTGAGCCACCCAGGCGCCCTCCACAACATTTTTTTTAAATTTTTTTATTATGTTATGTTAATCACCATACATTACATCATTAGTTTTTGATGTAGTAGTATTTCCACAACATTTATACAGTAAAGCTTTTGCTTCCCTCTAGCATCGTAACTGGCACCCTGATTACCCATCTCTAATTAATGCTAATATTTACTGTCATCCCCAAGAGTTATAGTTTGAAACAGGAACCTACAGTATGAAAGAAAATTTAAGTATTCCAGGTCATTTATATAAGTCTAATTTAGAATTGATTTCTCATATAGACTATGACAAAAGCTTGCTCACAGATCATAGCATTTTAATGTATTAAGTGAAAGATGACTTTAGATATTAATTTTTAAGGTAGGTCAAATTATAATACTATGCTGTATAAAAACATCATTTAAGTACCAATTCGTTCATTTTCTTATAAAATTTCAGTAGAAAAATTCCCATATATATCTAAAGTTGAAGATAATTCATTTAAGTCCCCATTATATATTAAGCCAGCCAACCATTTTTATCTATGTCACAGGTATAAAATATCTGTCAATTTCTGGTAAAGGACTATAACATGAAATCAATATGATCAATAGGTACATAAAATGCTAACAGACGAAATTTTTAAAAAAACACAAACAACAGGCCTTGCAATCCTTTAAGATGTATTACTCACCAGAAACAAAGTTCGGAAGTTGCTGAGATCACCAAAGAACTCTTCTATGCTCACTGTCTTAGAGTCAAAAATAAAGTATTCTCCAAGATTCTCATAGAGCTTTAGCATGTTGTTGTGCATGGTGAACAGTTTTTCATACTGGTCTCTGGCACTCTTTGTAAAGCTGTAGCTTTCTGTTAAGGAACATGACCCAATAGCATCTTAAAGGCAAACACTAGATGTTAAGATTGAATGATACCATCATTTTTATAAATACTTACATATTAATTTGCCACGATTGCCATAACAAATACCACAGACTGGGTAGCTTAAACAACAGAAATGTATTTTCTCACGATTCTGGAAGCTAGAAGTTCAATATCAAGGTGTTGGCAAGTTTGGTTTCTTCTGTGGCCTCTCTCCTTAGCTTGTAGATGGCCACCTTCTCACTATATCCTCACGTGGTGGTCCCTCTGCCTGTGTTTGTGTCCCCATCTCCTCTTCTTATGAGGACACTAGTCATATTGGAGTAGGGTACACCCTAAGGACCTCATTTTAACTTAATTGCCTCTTTAAAACCCTATCTCCAGATACAGTCAGTCACATTCTGAGATTCTGGGGGTTAGGGCTTCAACATATGAATTTTTGCAGGGACACAAGTCAGTCTACAATAACTTGCTAGAGTCATTTTATTGGTTAATTGGTTTCAAAAATTTGTAAACTAGGCATAACTATCTAATGTATAACCATGCAAAACATGTTTGCTAAATGAAAGCATATAAGTACAAATACCAGAAAACTGCCTCAGTTATCTTTTAATGAACAAGGTAGGGCAGAAACGAACAACAAAAAACTTAGAAAAAAATATTCTCTTTTTAAATACACACATTCTGTTTAGAGAGAGGTCACAGTGAATTCTATATATAGGCTACATGTGTGTGTGTGTGTGTGTATCCCACATGAAGAGGGGAAGGAGAGGGAGAGAAGAGAGGGAAGGCAAGAGGGAGGTATGAAGAGAAAGGGAGAAGACGGAGGGAGAGAAAGGGAGATGGGAAAGAGGGGGAGAGATTCTCCTATAGCGCCAGAACCTTAGTCACCCAAAGGGCTTGCTAAAACCCAGACTGCTGTTTGCTGGGACTGAGCCCAGGAGGCTGAGAATTACACTTTCTACTGAGTTCCCAGGTGATGCTGAGGCTGCCAGTCCTGGATACACTTTGAGTAGTATGCTCTAGAAAAGCTGTGCCAGGCGTGGAGCCTGCTTAAGGCTCTCTCTCCCTCTGCTCCCCCTGCCCAAGCAGACTCTGCTCTGAGTGCAGAGCCCCGCTCAGGGCTCACCCTCACAACCCTGAGATCATGACCTGAGCCAAAACCAAGAGTCAGATGCTTAACTGGCTGCGCCACCCAAGTACCCCAATCTCTCTCTCTCTTTTTTTTTAAAGATTTATTTGACAGAGAGAGAGACAGCGAGAGAGAGAACACAAGCAGGGGGAGTGGGAAAGGGAGAAGCAGGCTTCCCGCCGAGCAGGGAGCCCGATGCAGGCTCTATCCCAGGACCCTAGGATCATGACCTCAGCCAAAGGTAGATGCCCAAGGACGGAGCCACCCAGGCGCCCCTTTCTCTCTCTTTATAAAAAAAAAAAAATCTCTTTAGGCGACTTCGAAAACAAAAACCAACTAAAATTTTCATTAACTCAGAGCAAATATTGTGAACATTTTGGAGTATTTTCTTCTAGTCTTTCTTCTAATGGCTAATAACTTTTGAATGTAAATTGGTAAGAATGCTTCAGAGAAAGGTTAAGTGGGCTAACAATGAAGAATAAAGGAAACCAAATCCACCTTTAAAAATTAGAGTTAAATTTAAAAAAATCAATGATCAAAGAAGTAAAATGTCTTTTTGTGAAAAGGTAAAATACTTAGAATTATAAAAGAAGGATAATAGCACAGGTTGAGGCACGCTATTACAAGGTCTACTATAGTGTATTAATATTTTATGGTAGTATTATTTTATCAGGCACTGATAAATGTGTTTTGAAATAACCGATTGTATGATTTTAAGATAAATCTTAAAATTTACAAATATAAAGATATAAAATTTCTAAAAGTATAAATCTTATATTTAAGATTTTCTGAATTCTTCAGTATGTTTTATTATAACTTGGGGCCAAATTTATTTTTGAGGGGAACACAGCTCTCATTTTACAATGGAAGTCAATGGAGAAAATCAGACCATTTCTTTTTTTTTCTTTTTTCAGACCATTTCTGGAAAATTACTTTGCAGCTGACACTTATTGGATACAATTGATTTTAAAAGTGAGACGGGACCCTACCTATGTTCTTTCTTAGGCTACTTAAATATTAGCATTCACATTAGCAACACAACAACCTCCTCCCTGCTAACAATCTTTAAATCTTTCAACCCTCAAGTCCATTTTGACCTCAATAGACTGAAAGTATTAATGCATTTTTGACTTACTCTACTTTCTTTTTACCAACAAAAGGATCTCATATAATGCTGCATACACATTTGAGACTATCACCATATGTTCTTTGACTCCTAAGAAAGTGTTAAACATTTTGTTTATGAGTTGCAGAAATAAGACAATACTCTTCATTTCCTAGCACAGAATGAAAGTGAGATTTTTGTTTGCTAGTCTCTCCTACCCAAACAAAACAGACTCATGCCAGAGACTTGCTAGGCATAAAAGTTATCAAAGGGCATTTACTTGTACTCTATTTACAATGCAAAGTATTAAACTGTATATTTCACAAGGCTCAACATCTGTACCACACAGGGAAAAGCCGAAGATAAAAAAGGAAAAAAACTGTATGTTTCCCATTTATCATAACAGTTTTTCACCAGCTACAATATGTCCATGTAGTGATACACGACTTCACAAATTTGTTCTTCCAGAAAAAAAACACACAAAAAACCTGATTTCAGAAAATTCTGTCTGTGTACCAAAGTAAGAAAATTTGAAAAATTCTGGGAATGGCTTCTCTTAGAAATAACAAATGGAAAGCAGCCCAATCTCCAAGTCCTTTACTTATCTTCTTCAAAGTGATTATTTTATAAAAGGGATAGATGGCATGAGTCAGCCCTGGAAATCTCTCACACATGCAATGAAGTCACCAAATCCTAACTGGGACTGCAGGTAAAAAAGAGCTAGACACCCTCATTCCTTTTCATCCTTTTATTTCATTTAGGAAATTTTTATTTTATTTTTTTGAGCACCTATTAAATTCACTGGTTAGTACTATGCTAAGCATTGTGATGGCTGTAATGATCATTAGAGCCTAATCCAATCCAACCCCTTAAGAAGTTTATAATCTAATATTACAAATAATTCTCCCATTATTAATTTGCATTTGTATGGAATTTTACCATTTACAATATGTTTTCCCTTCCATTATGTCCCATAGTCTTCATAACAATCTTATCAAAAAGGTAGAGAAATACCAGTGTTCAAATTTTAGAGTTGTAGAAACTAGACAGAAGGTACTCATCCATCTAGGGTCAGCATGTAGTGAAGGGAAACAGAATATGCCACCCCAAAATATGCCTCTTTGGCATAGATTTTTATTTATTTGTTTTTGTTTCAAGTTTTTATTTAAATTTCAGTTAACATATAGTGTAATATTAGTTTCAGGATAGAATTTAGTGATGCATCACTTATATACAACATGTAGTTCTCATCACAAGTGCCCTCCTTAATACCCATCACCCATTTAACTCATCCCCCTGCCCACCTCCCCTCCAGCAAACCTTCAGTTTGTTCTCTATCATTGAGAGTCTGTTTTATGGTTTGCCTCTTTCTTTTCTACCCCCTATGTTCATCTGTTTTGTTTCTTAAATTCCATGTATGAGTGGAATCATATGGTATTTGTCTTTCTCTGACTGGGAGAAGATATTTGCAAATGACATATCTGATAAAGGGTTAGTATACAAAATCTATAAACAACTTATCAAACTCAACACCCAAAAAACAAATAATCCAGTTAAGAATGGGCAGATGGCACAGATTATTTTGAGCTGATTGAGAAAGAGCAGACATAGGAAAAGCTTTGAAAAGAGTAAAAGTTACCTTTTGAAAGGGGAATTTACATTTATAAAGGATGTCTCCGTCTCTGTACCAAGAAGAAAAGCATGACTCTAAATCACAAGAAAATCAATGGTATCCAGAGTACCAACCGTTAAATTGCAGATTTAAATGTGCATAACAAACCTTACCCTTGTTTATGGTGAATTTCCTGTTAACCGTTCTCCCCTTCCCTATAACAAGTGTCCTCACACCTTTCTTTCTTCTGTCTTTAGCTGAAGATGGTATTTAAACTGGTAGCTTAGGTTTAGTATCCAAAATATTTAAAGAAATTATACAACTCAAAACCCAAAACAAATAATCCAGTTAAAAAATGGGCAGAAGACATGAGCAGACATTTCTCCAAATAAGACATCCAGATGGCTGACAGACACATAACAAGATGCTCAATATAACTCATCAGGGAAATGCAAATCAAAACTACAATGAGATATCATCTTACACCTCAGAACGGCTGAAGTCAAAAACACAAGAAACAAGTGCTGGAGAGGATATGGAGAAATAGGAACCTCCTTGCACTGTTGGTAGGAGTACAAAATGGTACAGCCACTGTGGAAAACAGTATGGAGGTTCCTCAAAAAGTTAAAAATAGAACTACCTTATGATCCAGTAATCACACTACTGAGTATTTACCCCCAAAATACAAAAATACACTAATTCAAAGGGATACATGCACCCCTATGTTTATTGCAGCATTATTTACAATAGCCAAATTATGGAAACAGCTCAAGTGTCCATGTATGGATGAATGGATAAAGAAAGGTGATACATACACAGACACACACACACACACACACACACACACACACACACACAGGAATATTATTCAGCCATAAAAAAGAATGAAGTCTTGCCATTTGCAACAATATGGATGGAGCTAGAGAGTATGATGGTAAGTGAAATAAGCCAGTCAGAGAAAGACAAAGACCATATGATCTCATTCATATGTAGAATTTAAGAAACAAGACAAATGAGCAAAGGAAAAAAAAAAGAGAGAGCGATAAACCAAGAAACAGACTCTTCACTATAGAACAAACTGATGGTTACCAGAAGGGAGGTAGGTTGGGGGAATGGGTAAAATAGGGGATG